TTATTCTATGATGTCACTCAAAGGATACTACGATATAATCGACCATGAAGAATCGACAGTCCTTTTTTTTTTGACATGTTAATGGTGAGAATGGTGAGAATGGAAGGTGGGACGTTACGTTGATGCATCAGCCACCTGACCACCCATGCCCAACCCCATTCTTAGAATTTGTAGTCCATTAGATTAGATTAAAATGGTCTTCAGAGAGAAAGGAGCATCATTATGACCATACCTATCACTTTAGAATCAAATGGATGGTGATCACATGATGGGCTATGATTTTTATATACTCCATTCAATTATATGATACTCTCGTTTCTTATAAAAAGATTGTGATCACAAAGAGTGAAAAGTGCGAAGCAGTGCTTTTAGAATTGGAGGACCGAACTGAAATGCTTGGTCCAACCCATGAGGGGTTATCTGGATTTAGGGATGCCAAAAATATTCCAATTTTTCATATTTAAATTTATTTTTATTTTTCAGTTATGTTTGTACATCAGTGGTTTAAAAAACGGATCGGTGTGTCTGATCGGGCACCCCGAAAACCCGTCCAGATCGGTGAATCGACGATTCGGATCAGAAATCGGTTAGATTAAGCTTTAAAAAAATCCAAAAACAATATTAAAAATCATTATAAATGTTGTTTTTTAGGAATCCAATAAAAAATAGGGGTACTACATTATTACCTTTCATTTTTTCATCTATATGAAAATATTGAGATGTTCTTTCCCTATATGAACTTATGTTAACCATTAAATTTACATTACATAAAAGAAAAATTATAGAATTATCATGGATGAAGTATGTAATCATACATGGATTACAATAAAAAATAGATTAAATCGATGAAAAAATGGCCACCAAAATCTTGAATTGATGGAAAACCCTAATCCGTTAAAGAAAACCCAAATTATTATAACCTAATTGGCTATCAACCAAAATTATTACAACCTAACTAACTGTAATATTATATACTGAAATTAAAATTGTTGGTTTACATTTTACAGGTATTTTATGATACAACTAATAACAAATCCAAAATATATTATAATATCATCTAATTTAAAATATATTATTGACAACTGTAAGAAAAAATAGTACATTACATAATTTATAATGCAAATAAATTAAATAAAAAAAATAAAATATTTGGTTATCAATGTACAGATAAATTCTAAAGTGGTATAAGTTAGTGTTATTTTTTACTCTTAAAATATCCTCTAAATTAATATTTTTTAATATTCAATAAACTAGAATTAGTATTATTATTTTAATATCCTATGAGCTAGTATTAATTTTTAATCTCAATTAACTACTTAATTAATTATTAATCATATAATGAAATAATCTCATGAGATAATAACCTAATAGAGTTTTATTTCGGTAGATAAATTTAAATTTTTTTGATAAAAGATAGGGGTGGTGAGAACCCAATTATTATTTTTAATAATTTTTTTATCATATACTTTAATTAACAACAATTCGGGCGTACACCCTTACGTTGTAGTTAATTAATTATCAATCATATAATGAAATAATCTTGTGAGATAATAACCTAATAGAGTTTTATTTGGGTAGATAAATTTAAATTTTTTTGATAAAAGATAGGGGTGGTGAGAACCCAATTATTATTTTTAATAATTTTTTTATCATATAATTTAATTACCAACAATTTTGGCGTACACCCTTACGTTGTAGTCAATTAATTATTAATCATTTAATGAAATAATCTCGTGAGATAATAACGTAATAGAGTTTTATTTGAGTAGATAAATTTAAATTTTTTTGATAAAAGTTAGGGGTGGTGAGAACCCAATTATTATTTTTAATAATTTTTTTATTATATAATTTAATTACCAACAACAATTCGGCGTACATACCATCATCCAAGAGAATTGTAAAAACTAAAAAACAAGCAAACCATTGTATTATCGTCGGGTGTACAAGTTCTTTTCTTATGGTCGCATGTAATAAACCATTGCATTAATACCTCATAACGGGCGTATCCCTTTAGTAAAAAGCAACGGTATTAAATAGATTTGATGTGGGCTATGAGGCCCTATAAAATAACCAAGCTAATTACCCATGCAGACTAATGATATTAGCAGGTGGGACCATGACGACACCCGCGCGATATACTGTAACGAGTCAAGCAATAAACCATATCCAACCAGGCTAGAGATCCAATGGGTACGGTGGCTGGAAGCCAAATTGGATAGAGTTTTCTAATATTAGTTCGAAGCGATATTTGTTCGTTAGATTTATTCAGTCTTTTGACATCATTTTCCTTCATGTAGAATGCTACTTATGCTCTTAAAAATTGTTGATCGGGGTTGGAGATCCCGTTAAGAATTAGAAAGTCAATGTGAGAATTTCTTCATGCAATACAAAAACTTTCCTTATCTCTCAATCATACCAAATAATCCATATTTTACAAGTTTAATAATAATAGGAGTAGAGATAAGTAAGTAGTTATGATTGAAGACCAAGAAATACTAAAAAGATGGCAAGTTTGATATCTTGAGTTGATAATCCCATGAAATTGAGAGATTGTGGAAGATATCAAACATAGAATTAGAGTGGGGTGGGCGAATTGGAGATGTACAACTGGACTTGTGATAGCCGCACACTAATCAAGTTAATGAGGAAAGTTCTATAAGACAACTATGAGACCAACTTTGCTTATGGGGGAGGATGTTGGGCAATTAAGAAACAACATACCTATAAGATGAGTGCAGTTGAGGTGAAGATGCTAAGATGAATGAATGAGTCACAACGCAAGAAGGGATAGAATTCAAAATGAATACACTAGGGAGAACTAAGATGTGATTCTAATTGACATTAAGATGAGAAAAAATAGATTTAGGTGGGCTGGTCATGGGCACCACAGGCTTAATATAACACCTGTTAGGAGGTACGAGTTGGTTCAAATGGAAGGATAAAAAAGAACAACGGGTAAGCCCAAAAGGACATGGTTGGAAGTATTGAAAAAATATATGGGGACTTATTGCCGCACTAAGGGTATGGCCTTTCATAAAGCAAAATGGCAAATCAAGATTCATATGGCCAGCCCTAAATAGTTGGGAAATGGCTCTGATGATAATGATGATGAATCCATATTTATAAGTTTTATTTGATGATTGAAATTTAAATCTTCCCACAAGAGTAGAAAAGAGTGTTGTACAATTACTTCTTCTTTTTTTTTTAATTTGAAGAAAAGTTTATGTAATGCATCAACACTCTACAAGTAAGGCATGTCCCAAAAACCCACTTGAAAAAGGTTGCTCTGACACTAGAAAGCCCTCCAATTTATCATATCGACCTCGAGATGATTGGATATGTAAAAAAATGGATTTCAAGTCCCGAAAGTAATGCTTCTTGTAACATGTTATCTGGACCTTCCATTTTCAAAATAACCTAGTGTTTCTTAGTCTACTTGATCTGCACCAATTTTGGAGTTTTAAATTTCATAATTTGTGATGAAAATAAATTTCAAGCCATTGCAAGGAATTATAGCACAAAATCACATCTCTCAATAAGATTTGGAGGTATTTCTTAGATTGATTATTTTAGTTTGACATCTTATATAAATCACACCTATTTAATTCTGGGTGCAGTTTGTATAAGTTGTCAACCTTAAACAATCGAAATAAGGCCCACCATTGAATCTCTAAGAAATACAATCCCATCATAGAAAAAGCCTCTATTTTCACCCTTAATCATGAAATTTACAGCTTTAGAAACAGTGTGAATCTATTAGATCTATAAACACTTAAAAAAATTGAAAACAACAATCTAGATAATACATTACAAGATGCAATATTTTGAGTACTTGAAAACTTTCTTTTTCCTTTACATCTATACATCTTGAGACTGAGACAAACCATCTAAGGGAGATTTTCCATGCGCCTTACTTAGACAACATTTGTGTAGGATTGATCCCTCACATAACCTTTGCCATAATTTTTTAGTGCTCTTATTTGAAAAACTGGACCAGCGTCGGTGCATCCCGCCTATCAAGCAGTGGTTTGAAAAAAGGATCGGTTCCCCAGATCGGGCACCACCAAAACCCATATGAGTCAGTGAATCGATGATTCAGATCGAGAATCGACCGAATTGATCGAATTCAGCCTTAAAAAAATCTAAAAAAATTATTAAAATTCATTATAAATGTTGTTTTTTTAAGAATCCAATATAAAATGGGGTACTCCATGAAGAACTTTTATTTTTTTGCATCAATATGCTAATATTGATTTGGTCTTTCCCTGTATGAGCTATTGTTAACCATTAAGTTTATATCACATAAGAGGATAAGCATAGAATTATCATATATGAAGTATATCATCATACATCGACTACAATAAAGCATACAATTCATAAAATACAACCTAATACTAAAATAAAAGACGATGTCATTCTTTATTTTGGTTACGCTGGTGCCATTGACTGAAGTCGTGTGGCAATTCATTAATTCGATCTAGGAACAAATCATCCAAATTAGTGGGTACCTGACTATACTTAAATCCCTGAGTGTTAGTGTTTTGTTGTGCTCCTAATCTAAAATCCCTGAAGCTTATCCATCCTTCATGCTCACCTACATTGTTGTACTCGCCCCTACCCTCTTGCTGTTGGGACTTGGTCTGTGAATAATTTGTTTGGGATAGGGTAGCCTCAGGATCATCACCTCTCACATTTTTCCTTATACGCCCTTCTCACTCTCCCTCATTTGGTGCAACACCATCAACATCTCCGATGAATTGTGGATATGTTGGCGGCCTACTTCCTCTTTCATGTTGTTCATCAACTTCTTCATGATCGTCCTCACTGATAGCCACAAGGATCGCTCTTTTGTGCAACACTGGTTCCTCTTCATCTACTCCCCATTGGTCTGCTATGTATATGACAAATATTGTGTCAAAGTCTATCAACCTGTAATCTTCAAGCGTCCTTCTTGTTTGTCTCTCTTTGAGGTTTAAGCTATAATGAACGTAGACTAGCTTATGAAGCCTCTTCGAAGCGAGTCGATTCCTCTTAGTAGTGTGCAATCATTGGAACGTACTCCAGTTTCGCTTACACCCAGTAGCAAAACATATCTGGGAGAGCACCTTGCTTGTTATCCTCCTTAGGTGAGGTGTGTCACTACCATATATCTCCCACCATTCAGTTGGATTAAAATACAAAAAGCATTGTAAGGGCAAGAACAATTCATAAGATTAAATATACGACAAAACAAAATATTAGTTAAGGGTTAACCTGGATCCATCTTAGTTCGAAAACTCTTGACAAGTGTAGTTTCGAAGGATGCTACAACATCCCTATACATAGAAAACTAAAATAAAATAGTTCATTTTAGTGCATTAGTTATTCCTCACAAATATAACAACTTAATGAAGCTCTTACACAAATATTACATCTTATCTCATGTATTGATGTTATGTGGTTTCAATGGCTTCTCTTCAGCTTGGCAATAATGTATCTAACCCCTTCCATAATCGTGTGGGGATGTTCAGGTGTCAAATATAAAAATTTTGGGTTGAAATAGTAACCTAGAAAATATATAGATAGATAAAGGTCATTTAAATGTACATTAAAAAAAATATTTTGGAATTAAACATTTTAAAGATGTAAATATATATGTACCTACATAACGAATTGAGCGATCCAATTTGGTGCCCCACCTTCTTTCTATAATCTCAATCATTTTACTAACAATACTATACTTCTCCCCAATAGCTGATTTGGCCCTCTCGATACCATCGTAAAGGATGCTCATGGTAGCTTTTTTGTCCGGATCCAACATTCTTAACACTGTGACCAAAAGAGTAATGGCCTCTACGACACTGGAACACCGAGTCCAAAACCTCTTATCCGTGACTTTTCCCTCCACTTTTAACCCATTTATGGACTTCGAGAGGCAGTCGTTTGACCATTCTTCGCTGGTAAACAATCTCTTCAATTTAGCTTGGGATTCTCGAATCGAGTGCACTACCAAATAATCTATCGCAAAGCGGGTTATGGCATGCCTGATTATCTCTTTTTTCTTAGATTGTTCTCTGAGCAAAAGTAAAATTTTAGAGTGGTTATATATAAATTGTGACATGAACCTCGCTGCCTCTAGAGTCTCCTTCATAATTTTGATCTTGTTGATCTCCTCTAATATAAGATTGATGATGTGTGTAGCACATGGGGTCGGATTCCTTTTATCCATCAACTTGCTGCCCTTAGAACACAAGTACTTGTATTATCCGTAATAAACTAGCCCACATGCTTATCTCCCACCTCCTCCACTATCTAGTCATATAGTCTTTGTTAGACAAGAAGGTTGTACCTTTTGGGCAATAGACCAAGAAGTTAAGATATTTCTTCTAGCTAACTTTATTCAATCAACCAACACTCATGAAAGCAATTCCTGTTCTTGGCCAATGCTGTTTATATTCTTCAATTCACTTCTAAATTTCCTCCACCTCTTCATCCAAGATAAGCCCCACTAAGGTCATATGCTGTAAGGGGCTTTACCCCGGGCATGGCTCTCTGGATTGCATTAATAATAAGCGGAAAAGATGGGCTATTGGCTGCATCAAAGTGAAACCCTTTATCATAGAACCATTTATCAACATATCTGCCCAATATTTTCCTTTTATTTTTCACCATGCCTTTGAGGGTCATTTGTTGTGACTTGAGCTTTGAGAGAAATGGGTCTATGCGATCATGACCTCTAATATTGGTACTCCTAAATGAGCCAGGAACAATTTCTTCAACCCCCGGTGCCTCTGGATACATATTGCCAACAACCCTTCCATATATATTCGAGCTGGGCCTACCATGTATGCTCGAGCTGGGCCTGCCAGACATGCTCAAGCTGGGCCCACCATGCATGCTTGAGCCGCGTTCGTCATGCATGCTTGGGTTGGGCCTGCCATGCATGCCCATGGCCTAACCACTAGGCATTCTGAACCTGCTTTCCCTCTGATACGTTTCGTGCAGCTCATTCTTTTGGTCATCTCCAAGTTATAATTATATTGTTCATCTGGATTCATCTTGCTCGATGGCGTATATAACCCAGCTATCTCCTCATCTATCATCTGCTTTGTGACTTTTTTACCCTTGGTAGACTTGAGAATGGCCGCCATATGCTTTATTACATTGTTAGGGACACTATTGCACGCATAAACATCTCTCTTAACCTCTGCCAAGTGTTGTTCGAACCTATGTACCCTACTACTAATCATTTTTTGGCAGTAATTACATATAATTTTATCTTTTTTGTTGAGATCAAGTCTGACCCCCATGTTGTCATGCAAGGTCTTCCCTGGATTGTACCATTGTTCAACTATTTTAAGATGTAAATGGTTAAAAATGAACCTGAAAATTCAATATGAAAAATAATCACCATATGTAGTGATAATGTGTAGGGATAGTTCATGAAGTAATATTTGTTGTTCATGCAAAATACTTCTACTGACAAAAATATTTTAGTTCCTACTGGCAAAAATATTATATTTATCCAACATTATATTTAAAAATAGCATGTATCAACCAAATCTAGAATGAAGAAAAAAATAAATAAATTTACAACGATATAGTATCAATAAAATTTTCTTTTTTACAATGATACAGTCATTCACAATGCCACTACATATAAACTCATTACAAATCTTCATTTTGACAAGCATGAATTAGTTCCCATTGACAAAAACATTTTAGGGAAAATATCTCCCTACCCCCTATTTTTCGCTTCCATTTCTCAAGAGACCCAAGAATTTAAACTATTTCTTGCGGCATAAAATTTCTATCTTTTATATCTTCCTACCTTTTAGACTCCTTTGACCATACATTATTGAGCTAAACATTTTGTAAAATGACACATCTTTATCTTTCTCAAAACTTCGTATCTCTCCCCTCCCCTCTCTCTCTCTCTCTGAAACCTCCGTCTCTCACCTCTCTCATCCTCTCTTTCTCTCTGTTATTTGGGCAAAAGGAGCTAGTAATCTTCGTCAATACAAAACTAACCAGCAGCAAATCTTGCTTCCAATTCAATCCATTCTCTCTCTCTCTCTCTCTCTCTGCTGACCCGCTACTCTTTTTTTTTCTCTCTCTTTCTCTGCAGCATCCATAAGCCCACTTTGAGGTGGATAACACTTGAAATTTTTTAAAAGGAGGGAATAGGTTACGACCTTTGATATATCAGAACCTTACTTTCAATCCATTCTTTCTCTCCTGACCCACTTTCAATCATTCTCTCTCTCTCTCTCCTGACCCACTACTTTTGTTTTCTCTCTTTCTTTCTCTGCAACATCCATAAGCCCCCTTTGAGGTGGATGGCGCCTGAAATTTTTAAAAAGGAGGGAACAGGTTACGGCTTTTGATATATTAGAGAGAAATTTCAAAGGCCATGACCTGGTCACTCTTAATCTCATATATCAGAGGTCGTGACCTGTTCCCTCCTTTTAAAAATTTCCACCTCAAAGTTGGCATATGGATGTTGCAGAGAAAGAGAGAGGAAAACGATTGTACAACCAAGAGACCATATATCAGAGGCCGTGATCTGTCCCTCATTTTAAAAATTTCAGGTGCCATCCACCTCAAAGTGGACTTATGGATGTTGCAGAGAAAGAGAGAGAAAAACGATTATACAACCAAGAGACCATATATCAGAGGCGGTAACATGTTCCCTCCTTTTAAAAATTTCAAGTGCCATCTAACTCAAAGTGGGTTTATGGATGTTACAGAGAAAGAGAGAGAAAAAAAAAAGTAGTGTGTCAGGAGAGAGAGAGAGAGAGAGAGAGAGAGAGAGAGAGAGAGAGAGAGAGAGAGAGAGAGAGAGAGAGAGAGTAGAGTAGTAGTAGTAGTAGTAGTAGTTAGTAGTAGTAGTAGTAGTAGTACGTACGTACGTACTACGTAACGTAACGTAACGTAACGTAACGTAAGTAAGTAAGAAGTAACGTAAG